GTGTGTGTGTGTGTGTGTGTGTGTGTGTGTGTGTGTGTGTGTGTGTGTGTGTGTGTGTGTGTGTGTGTGTGTGCGTGTGCGTGTGTGAGTGTATGTGTGTGTGTCGTATGGTTGGTATATGCTTAAACAGTTAAATGTAAACCTTAACCTTGTTAGTATATAGAATACATTGCATTTATTTTACTGATTATTACTTAATTTTAATCGTTAAGAAATATTAAGAACAAAATGCTGTTTGTACGACATAATAATATAATATTATATAGCCTTGTTGTAAAATGTTTTGTTAATTTCTTTACGGAAAAATGTGTTAAATTTATAAACTGTTTTTTTTTTCTAGCTTCACTGCAGTGAAATATTATTGTTAGTGGAACTTATCATCGGTTAATTCCTTCTGTAGTTGTATAATGTAATAAAAAATATGTATTGACATTTTAAAAACCTTATTTTTAGTATCGTTTATATCCTTGTGGTTTAAAAAAAATGTTCAATATAGTACCCATTATAGTATATAATATTATATACAAATTACAAATACTATATTATTTAATGTTTGTGAAAAATGAAATCGGCGAATAGCCAATAGGTATTTTTATTTAAAATGTATGGTTTTATTGCTTTATATGTTGTATCTTACTATATTATATATATATTTCAGAGATATGCAAAACTTTATAAAAGTGTAATACGCCCGTTCTACGTTCATCTGTTGTACTTTTGTGTGCGATTCAAAATAAAATATATATATGTTTCATTATTACACATTGATGTAAAACAGCTCATGCGAAATACCTGTACCATTTATAATAAATATAGCCAAACTGCTATTTTCCATAGAAATGCACAAGTGCAACACAGACTGTCGTCTTGAGCGTCTTTGGGCCATCGGATTCTGTGTCCAACTCTATTCTTGACGAACCTACAATTCGGCTCGCCTCGAGTTCTTAAGACCGGAGTAAATTGGATTTTTCGTCGTGCACTAGTTATATCATAGGTATCAGTGTATTACTGTTTTTAATGAATACGATTATAGGCTAATAATTGGTCGGGAAAGTCATACAGGATACAATTGTATGGCTTGTGAATAAATAAAAAAAACCGAAAAAGGATGGTGGCAAAAATGCCTAAGTTATAATTATTATATAACCAAAATACCAAAAGATATACTTAATTTACGGTGAGGAAATCTTTCCAGCATAAATACTTCACTAGAAATGTAAAGACGTCGAAAGGCAAAACAGTTTATTATTCAGGGTTTGGCAGTATCTTCGATACGTATCTTGTATCCCGAAGCAGTAATAGTTCTCGGCTCATTATCTATCCGACAAGAATAAGGGTCACAGCAGAGGTGGGGCCATAGTCGTTTTTGTCATTGCAATCTGCTGACCCGATTCCAGTGATTTGCATTGAGTGCACTGCCTGGGGGGGGGGGAGAGGCTGCGGTTTCCTAGTTGACATTCATCAACTCATGTACCTAACTACTAAGTTATCGCCTCACGCAGTACTGAGAGGACCTCACAATTATAGTTTCCACTTCATCGAGGTGGTCGTCAATCCCAATTGATGGATTAAAACCTACTGTCCCGAGCTGAGAATTATTGCTAAACCTACAGTGATTATAGTTAATATCTTAAATTCCTCGCTTAAAACGGTCCAACGCGCATACTTGGGAATATTTGTCAATTGTTGTTCAGGTGAATGGTATGTGGAAGGCTAATTTAAGCTGGTAATGGTGGTATACTAAGAAAACGTCCCTCTAAAAAAAAAAAAAAAATGAAATGGTCAATGAATATTCATATTGAATATTATTTGGGTTTTTTACATTATATATTAGTAATAATATAGGTAAATAACAATTGCACACTATATTTCATTTTTATTTTTGTGCATTAAATATTTAAATGCTTATTTTGTCATAACTTTGAAGTTATAAAATAAAATGAAATTCCATGCATGTAAAATTATGTATTTATACATTTTTGATAGGCAATAAAAAAATGATAGGTTATTTGGCTAAGAGATACATGAATGTTTTTAAACTGTGTAGGTACGTGATATGCGGGAATAAAAAGGCCGAGAACAGCTGAGTTACAGCTGAGCTTATACGAGCCGTATAAGACGATAATATGAGGTAAGGAAGTATTTAATCGTAAAGCATAGGTACCTACCTATAACAATAATCGATATGCAGCCCGATCCTCATTTTGTACACACCAAATCGGAACATAAAACAGTAATTAGGCCCGGATTAACACTACAGCAGACAATATTTTTAATTTAATTAAAGTCACTTTAGTGAGTCCTTTTGTATACACGATACATGAGACATTTTGTTATTTTAATATGACTTATATTGGTTCTAATAATGTAAACATAAACATTTATATGAATTATATTATATTATATTATATTATATTATATTATATTATACCGATATAGTATACCTATGATATAACTTTATGCAAATGATAATAATGTAATACTAGTAGTCAGTTGTAGGGTAGGAACTGGAACCATATACTACCATAGACAAATAGAATAGTTTTTTTACAAGAAAAATACTTTTATTTCATGATTTTTATTCTATTTTTATTTGTAAATACTGAACATTGAGAGTAAAATGTAAATACAAGAGTAATATTATTATTTTTGCCTATAAATTCTTGTTTACTATATACATGATAGTCTGCTTGTGCTAAAGTGTACAGACTGTATAAATTTAAAAAAATATATTATTTTAATAATAAAAAAAATTTTAAAAATATTACAAAAACACAGTAGCCACACATTTTCGTAGACCCTGTGGTTTCTTCTAATGTATACACTAGACAGTATAGTCCATATTAAGGGATAATGTATATTATGTGAAATAATATAAATTTACAGCCCTTATTTCAGCAATATTGATGTAGTTATAGAATATAGACAATGACTATCCTGTTAGTTTCACGTTTTACTGTTTATATTTTTCTAACACCGAATTAATTCATGCGAATGTGACTCCATCCTAATATTTGGAATTTTTGAGTCAGAGGAAGTCTGATGTGATTTTTGTGTTATCTTTGTCCTAAATGTTTATAATTATAATATGTGTAGGTAATGATTTGTATGCTCAACATACTGTTAGAGATGAGTAAGTAAATTTATGTGTATTTTAGTTAAAAACAAATAACAAATTTTGCTTTTCTTATAACCTAGGTGGTGTATTTTTTACTCTTAGTAACATTTTTTAAAGCATTATTCTGTATACTATTGTAGTTGCTTGATTTTATCTGTAATGCTTATACTAGGATCAACAGTTTTTTAATGAATCTTTTTTTTTTGGCTTGTGTCCCATCTTATTTATGAAACTAATAAAATATTTTTTGCAGTAGGTACACCATAGTAATTTAAAATGAGGTCCATTGTATAAATTAATTATCAAGTGTGCATGGAGCATGCAGTTCAGAATGTTATTATGAATTACAATTTTTATGTACCTAACAGTCAATCAATTTTCACCGTATTCCAACAACTAAAATTTGTAATCCGGGACATTTCATTGAGACACTTCTTTGAGGCAATGGGTTGATTTTCAGCTGTCCTGGCAAATCTCCCTAGCCTATAAGCTATGCTTGATTGTTTTGCCTTTGGTTCAACATTTAGTTGATTTAATCTTCTGCTTGGTGTGAAATAAGGACTATTTATTTGTGTAATTTTTATAATATATTATATTAATTTTCTATTATTAATCCATTAGTTTCATCAATCTATCAGGGAAGATAACTTACATTGAAAACCAGTTTTCAGTTGAGTTTAATAAAGAACGGAATAATTTTGTGGTAAATGATTAATATACATAACTCGTTTTGATTCATTTGAAATATAATGTAAATTTTTTAATTTTATTAGGTTAGAGGCATATCAAGATCGGAACCGTCTTAATGGATGACAGGACATTTTGATGTTTTTGGGAGCGCCGGTCACCGTAATGATGGATATGCTTGGTGTTGTAAAGTATTTGAGTAAAAGTATTCAAATACTTTTTTCCAAGACTAGGCATTAACAAGTTAAAAAGTTTAGGTTAAGTTAAGTTAAGTTACTTTTACCCAAGTTACTTTATGAGTTACTTTTAACTTAATGAAATTGTTTTTTTTTTTTAAGTGACTTCTAACTTGCTGAGGTAATTTATTTTAAAGTTACATTTTTTTTTTTCTTAATATGAATTCAATAGATTTAAAATTATATTTTGATTTTTATATACATAAAAAAAAAATTATCACCCGATAAATCAAATAGTATTTATGTTGTTACTTATTTTATTCTGTTTTCTAAATAAGTTCTAAATTGTAAGCTGTTGTGTTTTGCATTATTTCTGTATTTGAGATTTCAATAGGTATTAAAATAACATAATAACTAATAAGTATAACTATCTACCTATACAATTTATGAAACAGTTAATGAGTAAATAACTTGTAAGTAACAAAAATTCACCACAACTATTTGTTTTGTTGATTTTTTTAATTGATTGAAGTATGTAAGTACCTACTGTAATTAGTATGATTACAAACATTTAAAAAAAAATAGTAAGATCTCCTATATTATGTTATTTATTAAGCTTTAATGAAAAGGTATAATAATTTATTATACATGAAAAAAAGTAACTTATTTTTAGCTAAATTAGTCACATTTTTTTTCAAATCAATCTTTAACTTTTAACGAGTTATATAAAAAATAAAAGTAACTTTTAACACTAAACTTAACTTGAATCTGTCTATATTACCTTAACTTAATGAGTTAAAAAAATGAGTTAACTTGCCCAGCCATGATAATCATGTTCACAGTTACCGAGAAAACCTATAATCCAATATGGAAAAGTTAAGAGCAACTATTAATGATTCTGCAATAAACTCAGAGCAAACATTATAAGTATAACATTACAAAAAGTAATTTTTAACAACATTTTGATCTGTTAGCAGCCTTGGCAGAATAATTTAGCATATGGTCATATGGATGCCAAAATGCTAAAAAGCTAGTACTAATTTTGATAAATAAACACATTTTGACAACAATAATGACTATGAATGGTTTGTATCATTCAGTTTTAATAAAAACATTTCATTTTATGAGGAAAATAAGAAACATATTCTGCTTCCACTGTAATAATAAATTACAATATTGAATATCTATTATTTTCTTTTCCCATTTTCACATTATCACAACATTATAAACTAAATAAAATATTAAACGATAAGTATTGTTTTACAATTTTATTGGAAACACTTAGTTTTATTTAACAACGAAGATGAATACTTAAAAAGTTTTGAAAGTCAGATAAACTATGCTTTTCTGATGTCTCTAGTACATCATAATAAAAATGTATTTGGTATCATCAATATCTCACAATTGATAAAAAAAATAATAATTCAAATATTATCATTTAATAGATGATAGAAGTTCAAATTTCAACTATTATTTAGCAAAATAGTCAACATAAACATAATTAAGCTATAAAGAAACACTATAACCAGTTATGAGTTCATGTACCAATTATATAATTTTGTTGAACTTCATACATTTCATATGCAGTCTCTTCATGATGGGTAGGATCATAATCAGCACCTATATAATCAATTTCTAACTGAAAAGGACCATCAGCTTTATCCGATACAGTAATACCAAAATGAGTAACTCTATAGAGTGGTAATGGTGCTTGCTTATCTTGTATCCGTCCTTTGCTAGCAAAAAAAAATTTTGAAAATGGTATCTAAAAAATCAATAAACAATAAATGATTATACACCCAGTATTATTACTTAATCTATATAGTAGTTACACATAGAATAGACAGTTTTTTTATAGAAAGCCAAAATATATTAATATTACCAACATAACTTTGGTTGTATTAAATAATATTATACCATTTTGACAGATTTTCATCAAATAAAAATAAATTATTACAGTTTGATAAATAGTTTTATAACCAATTTTAATTTATAATAATTTTTCCTTGTTCTTTAAAAATTAATCGGTTCCAACTTCTAATATATTGTGAATTTAAATACTATCAATATTGGCAGAACTAACATTTTAAAGAAAAAAACAACATTATATTTCTATCAATAAAATAACTTTTTATTATAGAAACTTTTTTAAGAATATAATTTGTCAGGTTTTTATCGTATAAAAAGTATGATTTTTAATTTTTCCAAGAAGTTTAATTATTTCCTCTGGTTTAAAAATAAACTTTCATAAACATTAGATTTATAGTCAGATAGTTTTGTATTTTAATTTATAAGTTCTATATCTCTATTATTTCTTAAATTGACAAAATGTCATTTAGTTTGTTGCAAATATCTATTTTAGATTCTAAACTACAAAATCTTTATTTATAAATTATTATTATTTTTTTTTTTTGGTTTAGCAATGATCTCTTTGATAATGCTCCAAACTTGTTTAGTATCTGTCTGAGTATGATTTAATCTGTTTTGATAAAATGATTGCTTTGATTTTCTAACTAATTCATTCAAAATATTTCTTATCGGATTATTGAATTTCTTCAAAATAATATCATAGGGTCTAGATTTTAAATTTTTAAAGAATGTTTCCCTATTTTAAGTTGAATAAAAATAACTTTAGTAGTAATCCATTCTTATAGTTTGCATATTTTTTTTATTTATATTTTTTTATAGCATAATACGAATAATTAATAAAATCATTGATTTTTGAAGTGAAAACTTTCAACCACAGTGTCCAAATTATCCAAGTTTAATTTTCAGAAATCATTAATTATTTTTAATAATTTATATTGAATCATCATATTCAGTTTAATAATATTTGATGATCTGTTTATGTTATTTTGTAGATTAGATAGAATTCATATGTAAAATCATAACGTAATGAAAGGTTAAATCACATCTTAATATTTTTGAATTAATTATATTGTTATCTAAATTTTTAATGAAAAAATTATCAATGCATATTATTCTATGATGACTAGTAATTCTTGCAAAACTAAAAGGTGTCAATTTGTGGCCATAATTATTAAAAAATCATTGCTAATAATTGCGTTTTTCAATAAATTAGTATTAATATCACCATAAATAATACTTATATTATGTTATTTATTTATTTGGGATAAAGATAAATTCCATCGTTGAAAACTTTTTTTTCAAATAAATTGTTCACATTATTTTATTTTAGGCGCAATTAGAATAAGACACCTTTATAACAGTTTATAATATATTATTATTAAGTTAAATAAAAGTATTAATTGATAAAGTACATGTTGTTCCATTTCACTATCTTGACATTAATAAACTGATTATTATTAGTATACAACAAATCACAAATTTTATATTTAATTTACAAACCATATAATTACTCATACACTTTTTTCGCAATCTAATTGATTTAGGTTATGAAGACTAAATTAAAAATATTTTCAACACATTATTTACAATGAATTTACTAAAATCATATAGATTACCTACTTGGTAATTGATAAATATTATTACTTACTCTTGTTGTTTGCCAATATGGTCCACCTCGAGTATACAGCACAAACGTAAATACATCATTCCACATAATATCAAACTGTCCAGACACATGTATGTTTATTAAATAACTTCGTCCATCGCCTCTTAAACGTAAATTGAGATGTGTGTAAGGACTCCAGTCCAAAAAACTGTCTCGTTGAAAAGATTTCTAAAATAATATTTGAATATGAACAGCATATAATAATTTATTGTTGACTAATAATAAAAAAAAAAAAAGGTATAATATATGAAATATTACCGAAACGCGTTTTGTTATCATATTGCAATAACCAGAATTTTGAATCCTTCCATCCTTTGGGACTCTCGAACATAGATTTCCATGAAATAGCCCATAACCCTGATTACCAATTTTTAAATCACATTTACTAAAACCCTCAGCATGATCACTATCACTTGTGACAATCCAATGATCCAATGAAGATTCTTCGTAAAATCTCCAAAACACATCAACTTCTCCTGGAATACACCAATAGAAAACGTTATAAATTATATTATAATCAAATGCAGTTAAGAGGTAGTTGTTGTGACCGGGACTAAAATATAATATTTTGAGTACCTACTGCAATTAATGTAAAAAAAATATTACGTCAACGTCGTCAACATTAAAAATCATCCAATTAACAGTATAGGTACCTGCTCTGTAATCGAGTATGGGGTCATTTATGAGAACTTCTTTCATTTCTTTTTTCCATAGTTTTATTTCTTTTTTGAGCTGTTTCAGTCCCAGACGGATTCTTTCGGTGCGCGTGTCAGCGATCTCCAATCCAGTATCGTAGCCGCTCCGCTTATCATATTCGTGGAACTCAAGGGTCGTGCCCGAAGTGTGTATCCCTCGTCGACGTGTCCAGTCTGTCAACGCCGGGTAGACGGTAAACGGATCCTTCCATCGGTTACGGAATAACACTACGGTAAACATTTTGATCCGCTGCATCGTAGTCAAACACCGGGCATGGAAATCGATATTTCAGTGTCTGCGACGCAGAAATCCCGATTTTCGATTGCCGGGCACGTAAGAGAACAACAACTAACTACACTAAATGATCGGTTCCATCGGGTTCGCAATATTAATTTCAAGCTGTAACAAAAAAAAACAAATCGCTCATTCGTCGTTTGTAAATTGCAATTCGTATCGGTCTCATAGAAAAAAAGGCAGTCGGCAGTTGTTCGGCACGACGTATAATTGATAGTGTTATCAGTTCGGCTTTTATCGTGGAAACGTTCTACAGGATCGTGATAACCAGCAAACATATGTGGGGCAGGCAGAATCTGTGTCGCGGATTAATATACGTTATTAATCCGTGATCTGTGTCCATAATAAATATAGACATGTTAATAAATTAATAGTTTATTAATATGTCTATGTTTATTATTATTATTTATATTTTTTTTTTTTTTTTTATTTGTTTATTATATAATCTTATTCTCTTTTTTTTTTTTTTTACCATTTCTAAATACGAATCTCGTAATCATTTGATGATAAGCGACCGGCGACACTTTGCAGCCTACACGTCCTTCCGTGTGCCACTCGTATGTGAACTGGGCGATTGCAACGGTTAGTTTTTATTTTACTTTTTCCCGTTCGGTATATCTACGATTTATGCCTAAACCGGATCCCTGCAAGAAGTTGGCTTGCGCTATTCAAAAATGTCTATCTGGTAAGTGTAAAAACTGTATTAATACTATGTACTAGAAGGTCGTACTTACGACACACTCGGTCGCACTAGTGCATTTTTTTACATTTAGATTTTATACCTCAATATAAACGCTCGTGAAATCTGTAAATCAAATGTTTTTTTCTCATCACACAGCTGTGGTCATAAAAGAAGGTACACTAACAAAAAGGTTGATAATTGATATCTGTTTTTACGATTATTGAGATTGAGAAGATTTAAAAGAACTTTAGTTTCTACTTAAGTGATAGAGAGGACCATTCATGGCCATGTTTCTGTGCATGTAAAACGTGTCAGGTTAAACCATAGACCTTTTACTCATAGACCGGCCCATCCTATACTAAATACATTGATAGTCGCAAGTTGACATAGAGCAGTGATGCAGCCCATTTATGGATCAGTCAGATCATGTCTATGTCCTATACGATTATTTTTTTACCTGTATCAGTGTAACTCAGTAACCGAAAAGCGCCACCTATCATGACATTGCGGAAACGTGGAGAGGACCGGTCTATGGGTTAAACTAACTTAAATATGAGCATTTTGTGGAATTTGAATCAATTAGATGACATTACCTACATGTGCATAGGAAGTTATAGCTATAATGATAAATCAATCGATCTAAAACTATTTCACGGTCAATAAGAGTTAACACTCATTAGCAATGATAACACCCTAGTAGTAGGTAGATGAAAAGAATATGTCCGATACAGTGCAGTGTAGGTCAATAGAATACTTTTATATAAGACTACCTTGTCTAGTGAAACATCACAATCCTGTTACCCAAAATATCAATATTTACCCATTTACATTTACTTATAATCGTAGACAATCTTATTTATATTTTTATTAACTAATCAAATTTAATTCCTTGTGAATTTTTTTACATGTATAAGATTTTGAATGTTAGAAAAAGTTTTATTGCAATAGTAAATGTAATTTATGTACAAAGTTAAATAATTTTTGGCCAAGTATGATTCATTAGAAATTAGATTTTGATTGTTTTTAAAATTTTAGTGAATTATAATTTTTTTTCGTTCTGTTGCCACATGAATTCAACTAAATATGATGATAAAAATAATGATGTACTTCAATGTTTTTTAAGCTATTACATAGCCTTTATCCCGGACCTGGTATGGTGACTGAAAAAATATTTTTGTAATGAAAAGTACTATCGTGAGTTCTAAAATTTTTTGTTAATATTTTTTTTTCGGTCGGAGCTTAAAAAGTGTAACTTGAATTAATATCATATAAAAATACATAATACATAGCTACAAAATTGCTATGCAATAGCTTTACCTCGACAGTCCCCGAGTGCCTCAGACTTTTTTATTCTGTCATTTTGCTGATCCCCAGAGAGTTTTTTCTATGTTTTAAGTAATATATTCTAAATGTTTTTTCCCAAAATATTTGTTTCACATTTAGAACAAAAGTTCATCGGAATAAATATTTGTATATATTATAATCGTTATTTTTTGTAGTTAAGTAAGAATTAATAAAACTATATTTAGAGATTTGAGAAAAAATATTTAATTACAGTAAATTGTTTGGAAATATACTTATATATAATATGGGTCACTTATGATTAAATTCAGTCACTTCGTCACTCTTTTCAAAATATTTTCAACTACTTTCAGCTCTGTCACTGTTATTAATATAAAGGTAAAAATTTGTTTTGATTTTATAATACCTAGGTAATAATTCAACTTGCTATAATATAACTTCAATTAATTTTTCATTGGATATAGTTAATAACATTTATAGCTATTTAATTTCTTTGATGTTAGAATTTTTCTGTCATAATAAAATTCATAAACAGCAAAATAATACATTGTTATTGTGATTTGAAAATAATGTAATTCAAATAATAATGTTAATTTTCTTTTTTCTTTTTAGAGAATGATTTTCAAGAGTCTCGTTGTACCAAACAAATAGACAATCTACTAGAGTGTTGTAAAAAATATCATACAGTTTCACTAGTGTGTTCTGGTATGAAACCTAAAGCAATAACTGAGCCGAACCAAAAGAAGGTAAAAAAATACTAAAATAAATTATTTGTACAAAAATGTTTTTCTTTAATACATTTCAAGTTTCTAATAATTAATTTTATGATTTTTTTTATGTATTTATTATATAACAATAGTTTATTTAACCTTTTGATGAGCAGTGATATATTGTGTATATTTAAAAAAAATGGCATAGGGAGTTCATGTTATGTTGCCGTTTTTTACCACCAATGTTTTTCTTTATTCTGCAGGGCAGTAGTTTTCAAACAGTAACCCTACATGGTAGTAGGCAGAAATCTGTGTAGTAGTAGCGAGTACAAAAAATAATTAATTAATATTTTTGATAAAGTTTATAACAAATCCAATATTATTTTTGGTTTTGTGTGAATAGATGATAAATAGTAAATATGTACTCATAAATGTACTTAAATTATTGTTTTTAAGCATTATTATTGTTAAAAGTGTATTACAATTTTGAATAGTTCTATTTTTAGTCATTAGTGTTTCATGACCAATTTTAACATATAAGTAGTATGTGAAAAATAAAGCTTTAGAATCTCTGCTATAGGCTTATTTTATCTTATAAACTAACATATTTATTTTATATACTTATTTAAGACATATCATTGCTCAGAAATGTATACAATTTTTTATCAACTTTCCATTTCCAATCCGCTCTTTGAGTAGGACCTCAGATTCAATCCATTCCTCAAAGGGTTTAGAGTAAAATATATTTTTCTTGCATCAATATTGTAATCATTAGTTGTTAAATATTTAAAATATTTTTTTTTATATAATTAGGATTAATATGTCAGCAGAACAGCAAAATCAACGACATAATTATCAACACTTTTCTGATAGAAAAAAATTAAAAGACTTGCCGTTTTACAGACGATACCCTAGAACATTTGCAATTACTGGAAGTACAATTGGTTTTTTGATCTTATTCAGTAAAGGGTTTTATGATATTTTCAAACCTAATACTGCAGAAGATATAAAAAGAAAATTAGTTTTTGAAAAAATAAAACAATTAAATCTTCAAAAAGAACTTGAGTAAGTCATAACTCATAATAATTTATTTGGTAGTTATTTATTTTAATTTGTATGGTTTACTTATTGCAAATTAATATTTTACTTTCTATTTTAAAAATATATCAAATTTTTATTTTATTTTTACAGTTCAAGAGCAGCTGCAGGGAAACAGTGATGGATGCAGTTAATAAAGCAAAATCACGCTTTAAAAGATATCCAGAGCTTTTACTATCATGTCGCGTTGAAGGTTTAGAATATGCTGCATGTATTATACAAAATGAAAAAGATTTAAAACCTAATTCTTGTAAAACCCAATTCATGAAGTTTCGGGAGTGTTTGACTTCAAATGCACTGAAGCGTAGTACAAGAATTTAGATGTGAATTTAAATTAGTTGCTATTATTAGATAAAATAATATGTATTTCATTTGGCATATAGTATTAGCTTTCTTTATTAGAATATTTATGATTATTTTCTCACAATGGTATGATAATGATGACACAGGTGTTCATTATACTGATATTGACTACAAAATATTCACAGATGCAGCTCAACATATGTGGGAAGGCAACTCCCCATATATGAGACCAACATATAGATACACTCCGTTAATAGCCATGTTGCTTGTACCAAATATTTTGCTACACAATTGTTGGGGAAAGCTATTATTTTCAGCATTTGATTTGGCTATTGCCATTATTATACGTAAATTAGTTTCAAAATCCCATCCTGGTCTTAGTAATGTCTGTGCTTACTTATGGTTGTACAATCCTTTAAGTATTGTTATTTCAACTCGTGGAAATGCTGATTCTATTTCTTGTTTTCTTGTTCTTGTAACATTGCTTGCCCATATGAAAAGTCGTTATATATTATCTGCAATTTGTCTTGCATTATCTGTGCATGTACGTATTTATCCCATAATTTATTGTTTAGTATATTATTTGTCCATTGGTAGTGATAATACTCATTCATCAATATCTAAAACGATTCTTATTCGGCTTTTACCCACTCGCAAGAAAATATTATTCACTATCACATTTATTTTGTCATTTATTGTGGTGACATGGCCTTGGTATTACTTTTATGGCCAAAAGTTTTTGGATGAAGCATATTTGTACCATAGTCTTCGATTAGATGTGCGTCATAATTTTTCTATTTACTTTTATTTTAATTATTTGCTATCTAGTTTCAACAAAACACCAATAATATATAGTATAGCAACAAAACTTCCATTATTAATTCTATTAGTGGTCACATCTTTCAAATTTTCTAGTACCCAAGACTTGTCTTTCTGCTTGTTTTGTTTATCTTTTATCATGGTTGCGTTTAACACTGTTATGACGTCTCAATATTTTGTTTGGTTTGTGTCATTTTTACCATTGTGTTATCCAATTATTAACCTAACATGTATTGAAATTATAAATCTGGTCATGATTTGGGTAATACCTCAAATTGGGTGGCTTTCATTTGCGTATTGCTTAGAATTTTTAGGTTTCAATACATTTCAATTAATTTGGGTTGAATCACTTATGTTTTTTCTAGCCAATGTTAAAGTTTTATCAATTACAATTGATTATTATAATTGTAACAAGTTAAAAAAAAAATTGTAAACTAATTATTTTTATTGAAAATAAACTTGTTTTATTACTATTGATTTTATAATTTTTTTTAATTGATTTTCTTCGTTAATTATACAAGATCCAAATTATTTTAAGCAAATAATAGTTATTTAATTTATCCCAAAATATTGCAGTCTACTAAAATAATTAAAGGTAAAAAGGAACTGGGAATATTAGCCTCGAAAAATTTAATAAATAATTGTCTTTTTTTCTTCATTTTATTACAGTTTAAAAAAAAAAAATGTCTGCCTATTAGATTTTTATTTCAATAAAATAATATTATACCAAAGCAGTTAGTAGGCAATGATCAATAATCATTGGTCTTAATAAATCATAAATTGTTGCAATTTTTTGCTAGGGGAACTATAAGTTTTAATTTTTAATTAATGCATTAAAGTTTTATTTAATAAAATATGCAAGTAATATAAAATATCAAGTTCAACATTGTTTTTATTTTTTTATTTTTTTTCTAACTTTCAGTTGGCAATTATTATAATTCAACAATCACAATAAAACTTTATTTTAATAAACAATTAAAGAACTTTTTCTCATTCTTTGCATATTATGGACTTATAATAAAGTTGTTTTATAGCTAAGCAATCCTCAAGAATATATTTTATTAAGTTTTTTGTAATACGTTATCTAAATGTCGACTAACATTAATTAATTTAAAAATAATTAAACTTATTATTACCATATAAAATTAATTTGTCTTGAAGCCAATTAAATGTTTCATTCTCTTTACTAATTTTTTATACTCAATGTTTACTAACTGACAAAATCATAGAAATTTATTCGTGGAATAGAATAATATGAAGGATAAAGGATGTTTAATTTTATTTTTAGTAACTTCATTGGGTTATCATATAAAAGCTAAATGTAATTTATAGGTGTTTCATTTAAGTTATAACTTTGAAATAGTACTAATTAATGAATTGTTTTGTTTATTGATCATAGTCTATTAACTGCATTTTTTAACAAAACTTTTTTCATAACGAATACAAACTAAATTTATTTCTCTCAAATTCTAATAATAGATTTATTTTATTTTAAACTTATAACTATTAGTTTCTGTCCTAGTATGGCATTTCATTAAGAAATAAATTTTTCTATGTACATCTACAGAATAAAATATTAAAAATATATAATTTTTTTTTACATTTATTTGGAAAATATACAATCTGTAAAGGTAATTTACAATATGCATATATGCGGTATCTACGTGTGGTTTTAACTTGGATTTACATGAATTTAAGGAACTACCCAACAGTAGTACTTATGATGTAAGGGAATTATAAATATAGATATATTGTTATGATATTCAATAGTGATATATGCAGTAGCTCAACTACTGTAAAAGTTGCGAGTGTCGATCACCGAGCCCCCTATTTTAACTGACCAAAGAGGTCATGAACAAACAAACAATAGTATATTTATATTTCAGTATTCAAAATAATAATATTTTGATCTAGGAAAAAATGTCATGAAATACGGTCAACATGTTTATAAAATAAATTTGTCTACAATTGAATCACGATGTAGAAAAATATAATTTAAAAATAATACTATAACACTAAATAACAATACTGATTCTATGTCACATAAAATAAATTTATAACTTGGTCTGCAATTTACACAACTAAAAGAAAAATATGAAAAAAAAACATAAACATCCTAACCCTAATAATAGTAATACAAATATATGTAGTATTGTTTCTCTCCAAACAGTTACTGTGATTGAATGTATTACTGAAATACAAATTTAGTTTTCTACAACATCTGATCTGGACCAAGAATTTTCTAGACTAAAGTGAGGAAATAATTCTAGGAGCAGACCAGTATCTCAACATAGATGGACCAAAGATACAGAAATGCAGGGCCCTTAAGATTTTGAAAAAAACATTTTATATAAGCTATATGCGTGGATATTGTTGTTTCAAATCAGTAACTTTGTTACTCAGTTAAAGAGTTTTAAAAGTATTGCACATTATTATGGCATCTGTGTACGAAAAAGCCATGTACAAGGCACATCCTAGAAATCTCATGCATATATGACACAACTTACATGACATGTACTGAACAAACAACATTCACCCCTTAAGTAGAATTCTCCCCTTGAGGTTATAATAAAGGCCAATTGTTATTATTATTAAGGCTGGGATTTCGATGTGCTTTGCTTTGTTTTTCGATCTAGTTACGCGATGTTTCATGTATTTATAAACGAGAATAAAAAGTTTTAATTTTGCTTTTATGTAGTATTTTTTAGAGCATATTGAGGAATTTTTGGGCCTTTTTTAAGTTTTTGAATACAAAATTTGAATTTGATTGGTAAACAAATTGCTAAATAGATAGGGTTAACTCTTAATACCGATGAATTTAAACATTTAAAGCCATGTATTTTTATCGCACCCGGGAAATTATGAGGTTTGATTATTGTTTTGACAGATTTTTACTCGAATGCTTAAATTAAGTTAAAGATTTGACTTCCTCTGTGTCCCCTCGTCCCTCGATGGATTTTTAACCTAACATTGATCTAATTTCCCGTAAAGTAGGTACTTGGTTTTATTGCAAGGGATACCTGAGTGAGTCCTCTGTAAACAACCTTAGGGACCTACATACAATTTAAGAGAAACTAATCGACTAAGAACTTTCAAGATACGGGTCTGACAGTCGATAATGATGGTTCAAATGCACAACTTCAATACTTTGAATGACATTTTTACAATTAGGACTGCGGCAACAGCGGGGAAACTGAATTTTATTTTAACTTCAATAATAATTAAGCACGACTACAACTTATATATGAGTATATCTACTAATTTACGGTCAATAAGTGCTAGTGTTTATTAAAAATATTAGGCATGGTGTTTAACACAATAATTATTGCGTTTCTTATCAGCCACTCGATAAATTAGAAAGGCACCTTCATCAGATGTTTTCTCTTTATACGTCTTTTGTTTCATTGCTGCCATTCACACCAAAATGTTTGTTCATTGATTACATGTATGGATTCTATCGAGCGTCATGTACAACACTATGTAGCTAGTGTTCCCTTATTGACGATGTAAAATAAACATTTGGAAGCACCTTGGGTAACTCTAAATGAACTGGAATGCACTCGAAAAAAAATATGACATTTTTTTAGGTTAACACTCGAAACATAAAATAATGGTTATTTTGGGACCCACTATGGAAAATTCTGTTTTTTAAGTGAAGTATGTTAAACTTTGATTTTCCCAAAATATGTCTTTTAGCACTTTAGTTCGTTCTAGTTTTTATTGTTTGCTAGTAAGATCTTTATTAGAATACATTGCCGTTGTTTGGTCTCCTTATATCTCATAGTTGTTAATACTTTGTTCTCAGAAGCCCTATGGCATAAATTCAAATAAATAAAATAAGATGAAAATAAATAGCAACGAGAAGAAAATATAATATATTTTTTAACATTAAAATGTTTACTCAAATCTTAAGACCTTCAAAAATACTAGTCGAATTTACAGTATATCGGCAGTTTCTATATAATGCAAGTTCTCTACCTACAGGGCGAGTGTTCCACCCAGTGAGTGCTCCATCCAGTATGAGTTCTTCATACAACGTGAGCACATCATCTTAGCAACTCCGTTCTCTAAATACAAAAACCTATGAATGGCAAGCCGACAGCTGAACTTATTTACGATCGATCAGGGGCGTACTGTGCCATTGCACAGTCGGCCGCTGCCACATTATGTCCCCAGGTTGGAACAAAATAATCCACCTGTTAGGTCGTTTGTACTTATATGCTCTATAATACAAGTAGTGACTATAGGTACTTGGTATATTCATAATATAATATTATGACACTATGTAAGTTGCGGGAGGAAAAATCCTTAGCGTCAAAAGTACATAAAATATGATTATTATTGTATGTTATACATGACATTATAAATGAAAATATAATCTATATTTAAATATTTTTAATATTTACGACGTAGGTATTATTACAACATTTGGGACTGTAAAACAATAATCATAATACAAGCCTGCGGTACTGCTATAAGGTTAAGTTATTTTTTATGTATATACATTATATATATATATTATATACGTATACATGAAAGGTAACGTTTCGCTAAAGTTGCAATTTCTTTTTTTTGATTTTTTTTTTTTGGTTCTATGTATAATTACGCCGATTGTGCCCTTCAATAACGCGGAGCCGAGACTTTGCAGTATACCGATCGTGGCTTGATGGCGGTGGCCGATTGTTGCAACACGGTCACGCAAACGCTCCCAATCATCATAAGTATGCCCGCGTAAACGTACACGCCCTCACAGCTGGTGACCGGCCGACCGTCGTTTCCTGGCTGCATCATGCGTACTATATAACACAAAATATTTAAAACTCTTGTGATTTATAGATGTATAGTCATATTATGTGTATGATAGACTAAAGTCAATATTTAATTTATAAAAATCAGACCACTAATATTGATCTATATGGCTATAGGGCTATAGCCTATAGCTCAATGCCCACTCATATTAAATATTTATAAATAAATAATAATAGATTCGTACAAATAAAATGTACGTACCAGCAATAAGAATCCCAACAAACGATGATACACCTCGTACCAACGAAATCTGACCACATACATTGTTAAAACTCTTTATTGGAAAAGCAGTATACAAAACTGCATTTTGGATCGACTTGTAATATCCTGGAATAATAGAATATAAAAAAATCAAGCGGTATATATCTTTCATAGTGTAAATTATATACCTACCTAATATTATGTTTTATTATTAATTGAAAATATTTCATTGCAAAACGTTATGTAATATAAATAGTATAATAGGTATAAAAAATATGTTAAGTTATAAATACACGGGGTCAGGGCCCATGGGTGACATGGCCTACACACATTGGCGCAGCTAGGGGGGGGGGGGCAAAAAACGAATCATTCAGTTTTTTAAATAAATGATCTTACTCTCTTGTTATCGATTAGCGATTGCCGACTGCCGTTGTAAGTACTAAGCAGAACAGCTGCCAATCGTAGTCTATAAGCTTTTACATAGGCATATAATATATAAATATATTAAAAATGGCGGAGGAGACTTTTGCACCCCTAAGTTTAAAATGTGCCCAACCAAAAAATTCAAGACTGTTTCTATTATATTTTGATTATTTTGAAGTAAAAATTATTAATAAATACAAAAATATTTTTAGTTTACCTATTCTATAGTGTATATTGACTATTGAATAATATAATATAGTTATATATAGCACATCGCTATAATGTATTAATGTTCCCAGGTATAAGTGTTATATCTATAACATAATATTATGAAATAATATTTAATGTATTTAATGTTGTATAGAACAAGCCACAGAATATAGATAGGTACATAGTTATGACCTTATCTGTCAAACGGTTATCATAATAATATAAGATTATACATTTACGAAATAACTAGGAACATAGGGTAACGAAACTTATATTTAGGTACCTATCTATGGCAGGATGCAAGACTGCTTATGAATGTGAAATCGTTTACATTGTTTCCTTGTTTATAATTTGTTATGATTTATAAAATAAGTTAACTATTAACAGTTAAATGCGTTCTTGATTGTTCCAAAAATTTGTATGGTTTTTTTTATGAAAATTAAATATTTCAATGTTCATGTTACTAGTTATTACTACCAATACCCATTCAATAATAATTAATAATAATGAACAAATAATAAGACCAATAGTATACAAAATATATTTTTTTTTTTAACAAAAATATACTCAATAAAAAATTGATGATTTAGGTCTTCCACCTAAATGTATTGAAATGAATTTTGGGGCAGACCTAAGAGGTACTGAAATATATATTTTGTGACATTTTCAAATTGTCAACACTTACGGTGGCGCTCATGAGCAGTACAAAATGTATTTTTTTTTAAAGTAACACCTATTTTTAACACATTATTTAGATTGTCCGAATTTTTTCAAGTCAATTTGACTCTTAATACTTGGTTCTCAGTTTAAAATTGAATGAATGACGGCTATTCAATATTGAATAAAAAAATTGCTCAATTATTTACCTGTATCATTTATTAATTTTAGGTTTATGTAATTGTGTAATTTTATTTTTTTTTCATGAAATTTTATAATTTCTATAAAAAAATCTTCACTTCCTTTGGGATAACTATGTTTTTTTATAGTTGATTTCCGGACATAAAATAGTTATGATAATTAGTAATAATTAATAATTAATATTATATAAGTATCTCCATATTAAATACACTTATAAGTTATAGCAGGATGGGCAATTCAAAGTTACTAGAGAGCCAATTTTTAGATACATAAAAAGCTTAAAAAGCAGGAAAAAAGGGGGTCCTTCAAAATATACATTTAAATTATCATTTATTTTATTTATAATGTATTTTGAAAATGTGGCACGGGCCGGATAAAAAAGGCTCCCGGGCCGCCAGTTGTCCACCCTTGAATTATAGGTAATAAAGCACAGACTAAGCTGAGGAACTCGGATCTAAGATATAAAATCAATATATTTTTTGTCATAACATAAAAATAATTAATACAATAAAATTATCTGACTATCATAATATTATTAGAATATTAATCAATGATGCAGTAAAATTCCACAATATAATTAATAGTTTAAATTGTAATTATAATGTAGGTAGTTGACCAAACACAAACATATCACATACAACTTATGCAGTAGACATTTAAATTTTTCATAGGATGACAAATACTACTTCTCATATTATTATTATTAATTATTATTAAGATAATTATTATAGTATTTAGTATTGTTATCAATATACTAATAAGTATTAGTGCAGTAAAATAAACACAAATAAAAATGTACATTGTATTTAAATATTTTAAATTTTTATTCTCAATTTGATGTCATCAAATTAATAATAAAAATTAAAAACATAGTTGCCCTAGAGAAAATGAAGATTTTTGAATAAAAATTATAAAATTTAAAAAATAAAATAAAATTACGTGCATGAACTTAAAATTAATAAATTACACAGGTAAATTATGATCTGTGATATTTTAATTTTTGGTAATATTTTCTAAGTTTACCGAAAGTAATTCCAAAAACTCCAAAATACGGCAACAGATTAGAAATATCATTGGTGGTCGTGGCGCATAGGAGCAACGATAGTCCATTAGCTACCAAAGCTAGGCCAACATGATACAGAGGTACAGGGTGTGGTGATCTTCCGTGCACCACATGACCGAGTCCCCGACCATACAATAAACCAAAACAGCCTGCCATCAGGGTAATCACTGCTTCTGCGGAGGTCTTCTGACCCACAGGACCTATAATAATAAATAATAATGTTATATTAAATATAATAAGCGTACACAAAATAGAGAACTACAATTAGGTACTATTTTGGTAGAAATCATATATTGTGTGCACAATTCCCGGACAATGTACACATTTCATAGACCGCAAATGTTGAGTCTCAAAGTCAGATAAACGAAATCAAACCCTTTTTTGTTTTGATTGTGTCATATTGTAAAACATTAAAATTAAACTATTTAAAATATTATGGAGGCGTCAGGCCTGTGCAAAAATCGAATACATTTTTTCTTGTTTAACTCAAAAACTAATAACTGTAGATATTTTATATTATCATCAAATACTAATATGACCATTTTCAATACATGATAAAATAATCAAAATATTTCGATTCTTTTTGAGCTATGAGAAATTTTTGAATATTCTAAATTGTTTTTAAATTGTTGTCGATAAAGATTTTCACTCAACGAAAATGCTTTTATATATGATACAGGGTTCATCATAAGTTGTTTTAATAGAAATTCAAAAATATTATGCATAAAGCATGATTATTTTTTATATGAATTTAAAACTCTAACTTTGACAAAATTCATCGAAATCCCAATTAATATTCAGTGAGAAATACAAAAAAAAATGTTCTTTTTATTTATATTCTTTTAGTATACAGGGTGATCCAACAAGTATGCTCAGCCTCCCCCTTTTTTCTTTAATAATGAAGTTTTTCAAAATATGATTTTTGGAATCTTTAAATATATTCAAAGATCATATTTTCATATTCTTGAGATTTTTTTGTGCCACTTAAAGAGTGTCCTGTAGCAATACGAACCTTTGTTTTTCAAATGAGAACTCAACTTTTTTTCTTTCAATTATTTAGTGGATCATTTTTTTGAGAATTTTGATGTATTAGCGGTTTCCTAGTTATTGGTCAATTTGTACTAAGGATAATTGTCTGTAATAGGGATATGCTTATACAGTTCTACACATGGAATAAGAAAAATTACTAAATAGATGAAGAAAGATTTTACTTGCTTTTCACCTAAGTATTTGGCTAAATAAATATAAAATGACGTATTATTTTATAATATGTGTATAGACTATAGTTAACAACGTATACTGTAAAGCATATTATCCTTCTTCTTTATTATAAACTATATTATCTTTAGCACAAAATGGGTAATAACTAGAAAACTACTAGTTCGAATTTTGATTCAATACATCAAAATTCTCAAAAAAATTATCAGTTAAATAATTTAAAGTAAAAAAGTGGGGTTCCCATTTGAAAAACAAAAGTTTGTATCGCCACAGGACACTCTTTAAGTGGTACACAAAATCTCAAAAATATGAAAATATGGTCTTTGAGTATATTTAAAAATTCCAAAAATCAGATTTTTAAAAACTTCATTATTAAAGAAAAAAGGGGGGTGAGCATACTTGTTGAATCTCCCTGTATATACCGGAATGTAACAATATTTATAAATTATAACCATTAGACATTTTCGACTTGTATTAATTTTTTTTAAATTATCAAATTTGATTATTTATTCAAGTATCCTGGCTGACATCACACCATCCCAACTCAGAATCATTTTTCGGATACAATGGTTTATCATTGAATTTAAATTTAAAAAATCAATTACAATGACATACTTGATAGCTATAATGTACGACAGAGCGCTACCAACTTGACTAACTTTTTTAAATTTGTTTATCTATTTATCAATAAATGCTCGACTTTTTAAATAGTTTACTCTGTGTTTTTAAGGTATATTAATTTCTAAATTGTCATGTTCAAGTAAATCTTTACCATATAGGACAAATATGTTTACAGCGGTCCAATATGGTAAAATTTACGTGACTTGAGGAATGCATTCGAATACTTGAAAAGTATAAAAAATGGGACGCAATATGATGATGTGTAGACTTTTTCCTACTTTGACCACTAAAGTCGGGCATTGTGTTAATCTGTGAATAGTGCTCAGGCATTGTGTGCCATTTCCGTCCCCTAATATTTTACTATGCAGGAATATTTATAAGATTGGATCAATAATAATAGCCAGAATAAACACTTAACTGAAAAAAAAATGTCAACACTCATAATATTTAACTGGACATAGTATATAGGTACCTTTAATGAACATAAACGGTACCAAACAGGCAGCGTGAATTAGAGCCTCGCTGATTACCATTAAAAGGAATTGTTCATTGAACCAAATCGACATGTTAAACATACACTTCAAAACTCTACTTATGGCTATCGGACATTTCCAACCGAACTTATTGCTCTTCTCTTCGTTCACGTCAGCTATGGAACAAATACGAGTCATCGTCATCAGGTATTCATTGTATTCGATGATATATTTTGTTGTACACTATAGACAAATTACGAATTTAAATAAAAACAAATAAATAAATTTAAACACTCATTGATAAATCAAACAGCTGATACATGTGTAATGATGGTTTTAAAACAATTTTTTTTTAAGGTTTCGCATTGTAGTTTTAAAAATAAGTCCCTACAAAATGATTTGTTATTTCAAAAATGTAAAAAATCCTTTTAAACTTCTTAAATATCACATCAACCGTAGTAAAATAATTTAATCCACGAGTTTATATTAGGGATATCAGTGGGTTGTAACATCTAGGTATGCAACGGAACGCAAGAAAAGTAAGAAATCCGAGATTTTATCACAATTCACAATGTCCGAAAATTTTTGGGCAATGCAAGGGGAGTTTATAGTTTGGACCAAGATAAAGATAATGTGTAATTTGCACCACTGCTGGTAGCCGAAAATGTGTTTGTAATTTACATCATCGTATGTAGTTAAAAATAAAAGAAAAACCTATGAATATAATTTAAAAAACGTATGTATTCGATTATTATTATCGGTATATCCTTGTTGATGTTGAGACTCGATTTCCGATTGACTCGATTGACAATAATAATATTTCGGCATTTTTAATTACCCGCTGCCTCATAATTTCGGTAGTCAAACCGACTCGATTTAACCATGTGTTAATTTAAACTGAGATAAAATATTCTCTAATACGTGAGGAATATATCTATATATAATTTAAAACGCTATCGTAACTAGATTAGCAGTAATAATATTTGTTACGGTATTTTTCGATCACACCTCGTAAGACGAAGTTTAATATAGTCAATTCACTTAACAAATTCTTCTGCGTTAAACAATAATTAATTGTCTTTGCTTTATTAATTTTTAAAAATTATTTACCGTCCTATGTTTTTATATCCATTGTTTTTAAGATATCATGCACCTCGTCTCTGCTAAAATGCTACTAGGGACTTCGGAAATACTGACGCTAGAACTTGAAGTGTATTATGTTTAATGTATTTCACATCTCTTCAGTTCTAATCGAATTTGTTGGATTTTCCTTTGAGTATCAATGCAAAAATGTATAAGAGCATCAACATAGTATACTTTCAACAGATTTTCTTTTAAGTTCTTACTAAAAATTCGATGTTATAGTTTGTTTTCTTGTGGATTGTGATTATGAGTAAAAATAGACGATAATCCCACAAAACATTTTCATTGTCACATACTTCCAACTTTAAAATTAGCTTTGCACCCTTATTATATATAATTCTAGGCAGTGATCTGGCACTGAGTCCCTAAAAATTATTAACGTCGCATACTTTTTCAACTTCTATGTTTTGAGAACCATTTGTAGAAAATTGTATTGGGAGCCAATTCTATGACTGCAGTAAGCGAGTGCCTGCAGCCTGGCAAATTGTTTTCTACGCGGATTCAAGTGGCCAAAGTGAATTAAATACAGCGCATTGACATCAAATGTCATTCGTAGTTCATACATTACAAGTACCTACTATCTACATCTAAATATTTTAATTGTTTGATCTCACGACATACGAAATACCTATCAAATCAAGAATTAATAATAGATAATATTCATTTTATTCGTGCCAAACGGGCAAACGGCCTTTAGATAATAATATAAGTTCTTCAATAGTAAGTACCTAACAAAGATTCAACGAATAGTAGGAACATTTAAAAAAAAATATTAATAGAGGTAACTTATATTTGAGGCATATATGAATTTTATGTGTATTAAAGTGCCGAGTAAGATGTTATGTTTAATTTCCAATATTTAATTAACAACTGACCAATTATATTCGGGGACTGTGTACAATACCCGGACAATGTATAGGTACTTTTTCTTACTTTGTCCTCGAAAGTCAGGCATTGTGCACCGTGCCTGACTTCCTATTTTGCCAGTAACACCTACATGGCTAGTGGCTATATACACCAGATAAATATATATATATATATGTATTATGTATATTGTATATAATATATATAAGACATATGAAAGTATTGAAACATAATATATTATATATTTTAATTTTGATTTCGAATACAACCTTTTTATCACTCAACAGCAAAGAGATGTTTCCGTCGTAGAGAATGTCATCTCTATACATCGGCCGACTGCCGATTAAAGGGTTTTTGAACATGTTTGTGACATTTCGGATGCACAACCTTCGGTTTAAACGTTCTTCATAGATCCAATTCGAATATTTTCGATTCCGTTTGATACTCTCTATTGGCTGCTCATTCACGATTACCGGCAATTTCGCAAGAAACATGTTCGTAAATAATCTGCAACAATAATAACGATTATTATGATTTATTGGACCTTCAGTCGATAAATTAACAAACATAAATATGAGTATTCAAGTATCTTGATAGTTTATGTTAAAAAAATTAAAATTTATCTGTGTTGAAACTTCTCCAAATGTTACCTATTCTGAACAATACAACTTTGCGACCTACTCGGCTTTTTTTCTCGAAATAAATAATAAATAGTTATAATGATGTATATTGTTTATACACTCTTTGTGTGTGTATCTATAATTTATACTATATACATATATATTATATAGATTATACTGGGACATGAAATAACTATTGCTGAAACCTGTACGTCAGTTTAATTTGTTAATTATATGTACCATATGTGATATAGGAGAAAAATATATATTGCAATGTGTTTGTAAAATAAAAGGTTAAGAAATGTCTCACTTTCGATCTCCGATCGTGTCCTGTATAGTTAAAGTTTTACAACTATACTGAAAGTTTTCTATGATCCAGGCCATAGTCTGGATTTTGGATCGTGGAGGAGAGATAGAATCAATAATAGTTTCATCATCGTCTATGTCCAATTTTAACGTCACCGGTGTAGAAACAAGCAACCAGAATACCAATGTAAAACACATTATACCTACATTAATAAAGTATAAATTCAAAACTTTTTTCACTAAAAAAACAATTGTGAAATGGTATAAATCGTAAAATGAAATATTTCATTTTATACTATACGAGTGGCGTAGTGAGGAGGGCTAACCACCACTCAAAATTTCAAGAAAATTTCAAACTGATTTAATTATTTTTTGAACCATGTGCTAGTATATTACAATTTACAACTGTAATTTGTATGAATGTTGCTGCAAAAGTCTAATAAGTTCATGAAATTTATGAAGGCTTGTGAAGTATTTCAGTATTTCAGCATTTAATGCTAAAAATATAGTCAATGTGCCTTATAAAGATAAGTGGGTACTGAAAATTGTACAAGCGTAAAGTTTTTATACTTTTTTGATACTATTTTGTGCTCTATGTAGATGATTTCCTTTACATCTCATTAAAATAACGTTTAATATTCCACAGCAACACATAATACCATTACAATAATACCTATGCCGTATTATATGTTTATATTCTTCTCGAGTTGTTAATAACCCATTGTCATGCTTAAAACAACTGTTAAACCATATTTAGACGATTCACCCGGGTATAAAATATTAAATGTTATCATTAGGTATATTTGGTATAATATTAAGAAATTCACAATTTCTTGCATTATTTATTTTAAAATTGAGGTGATTGATCTTTTAATATTTTACATTAATTAATGTACGTAAGCCAAGTGTGATTTATTAGAACATCAATGGTAAAGATAACTGAATGTTACTAATTGCATAATTAATTATTATAGTCCTTCCTTTCAATATAGATAAGAGGCACATAAGCCCAAATAAAAAATATACCCATAACAAAAGAGGTTAAGGCTTGTTGAGCCTCCCCCCATAAAAAATCCAATATCATGTCTATGCCACTTTACTAAATACCTAAACTTTATCGACATATTGTATATTTGCACAAACCTAAATTGAGATACAATGCCGTTTTCAAGTTTTCTGTTTTCAAGTCTGCCGCTTGCAGTAATTGGAATTCAGTAAGAGGCGGGATTATCAGCATGCCAGTGAAGCTTCCTAAATGAAGAGATAAATGCGCCATATGGCGTTTTACGACGTACAGCGTGGACAACAAAACGTAGAATGATGTTTTAATTATCCCCATTCCAATACCTAAACTTATACAAATATATAAATAAAATATTTGTCACATACCTATTGAAGTATATTTCACATTCGGATAAATGCAAAATATAATATTTTATTGTAATCACATGATCTACCCAGTTGTAAGAATCAAATTTTTTTTTCTAAAACGAAATATTTATGTTAAGTACTTGATTCTTTCAAAAGTACGCAATAACTGTTGAAATATATATTTTTTATAATTTTTGGGCTATGCCGGTTGTTCATTAGAAATTACAGTATAATTTACATTGATTTTAAAACATACCTTGATATGTGAAACAAGTTCAAATGTCTTATTTGTGCAGAAGTACAATACATACTAACATTAATCGATGTATTATTAATAAATGTCTATTAAAACGTACCTATTGACAGTGTACCTAAATATAACATGCCCAATGTATACGTTATTATTAGGGCTGTGATTTCGATGCACTTTGCATTGTTTTTGTGCAATGCTCGTCTTGTCACAAATTTGTTTTATGTACATTTGAATGAGAATAAGAAAGTTTATTTTGCATTTTTTTACATTTTTTGGAATTTTTTAGTTTTTAGGTCATTTTCTTAATTTTTTAGGTCATTTTAGAGTTTTGGAGCATTTTTTGAATTTTTGTAAACCAAGTGTATGAATTTGAAATTTTATTTTAAGATTTTAAGATTTTTACACCAACATGGTTTTTAAATAAAAATAACAGATTATAAGTAGGTACCTACTCGTAAATCGTAATTCGTATTATATTATCGGACAATCAACTTTTTTTTTAGATGTATACTAAAACCATGTATTTACAGTTTATACTTGTAATAGATTTTTATAATGCATTTTTTGAAACATTTTATTGTAATTTATACGAAAATTATTAAAAATAAAAAAATTTGTAGATCATAAAAGAATTTTTTTAGGGCATTATTTAGAGTTTTTAGGTCATAAAAGCATTTTTTTTCGGGTTTTCTTTAGGGCATTAAAATCCCAGCCCTAGTTATTATACTTCAATACGGCGCAATACGACAATACTGACTGTGTTTAAATACACTTACCACCAATGACGGCCAAAAAGTAATGTCCATTAGTAAATGTATTTTCGATAGAACATAACAACGCGAGCCATGTTACTGACAGTATACTGCCAAAAAATAAACAGTATCTAAAGCCATAGCGGTTGATGTACGCGCACGAAATCGGTTCTATAAAAAAAAATATTAGGTATTCAATATAATATTTACGTATCACAAGGGTACTATTTGTATTTAAATAAGTATACATATGCAATATATATGCATTATACGTATAGTACAAATGTAGAGTTTAGACATTATATTCTATTATTGTGAACTGAAAATCTGAATGTAAAACATAATTTATGCTAAGGGTTACAGTAGAGTACCTACCTGTTTTTTATATTTTCCGCCATTCTATATGATTTGAAAATTATCTTTTAAATTTTAGTTTCCACCTTCATTACAATACTTTTCCATTAGTCTACTGCCAGGTACCGATACGTGGAGGGTGTGTGATATAGTCAGAGGCGGATCCCGTTGGGGGGGGGCCCTCCCAAACCCGTATTCCTAACAATTGTAAACTGTTAAAAACAAAATTTAAAAAAACCTATTATAATATCGAAAGTTTTCTGAAAATTATGACTTCGACCCTCCCCAACAATGTCACTGGAACCGCCCCGGGATACTGTGTATTCTATCGAAAAAAATTACTTCACAGGAATGATTCTCAGACCTTGTAGAACTGTAAGATTTTGATAACAATTTTTTTTCTGAAAGAAGAAAATTTCCTACATTCCGCATTGAACTCTGGTTTTTTATTTTATTTCAAATAATGGTATATTATTTTTAAAAAATGCTTGAAACTGTATTATTTTTGAAGACATAATATAGTAAGAAAGTAAAAAAAAATGAATACCAAACAACAAAAACTTCAAAATGTAATTTGTAAATTGTAATAAGTAGGTACATCACACACATGATGATTAGGTACATGACAGTATTTAAGACAAATTTACTTAGGATTTTTCTATCAACTAAACCTACCCACAGTCAATACTTACCCCAAAATAATAGATAACTGATAAAGCGAGCGATTAAGAATATTTAATATAGATAATATATTTGTATACTTGTAGTAGGTACCTATACGCTATACGAGCGGGAAAATCATTATACGATTTTATACTCGGTTCATAAAACATTTATGTAGTAGGTTTTACTGGTTACAGACTTATTGTATATAATATGATTATGATGTGTACGTGTGGTGAGATGTATATAACTTTTTTCACTTTTGTCTAAAAATAATAAATGGTTTTCTAAATATATAGCCATTATGTGTCGTTTGTTAATGGAATATATCTATATGGGCATATACCCAATATAGAGAAAAAGTGAACAGAAAAAAGTAACAGCTCACCGATAACCAATAAATAAATAAGGTAGGTAAGTATAATAGAAACATACGCAGCTACTTTTTGACTAAATCAATTAAAGTGAGTGATGATTATTACTAGGCTATTTAAATAAAATAATATAATATATTATAATTTAGCTCAAGGTTCAAATTACCACTTCTGGGAAATCATTTTTACATTACAATAAATTGATAGTTACTAGATGGTACCTACATCGACTACATCGAAATCAAAAATAAGGAAAAAAAATTGTATACGGTTATACCTTCCAAATGCAGTTAGCCCCCTATATATAACTATATAAAACTATACAGCTGCAGTTCTCGTGCACCTGGTATATTATATTTTATATGTTTCGGTCATTTATGCTATATTGTAGTTAAACGAATTAAAATATGAGAATTATAGTTATTTGTTAGTGAATCACATTAATAACCACAAATAAGAAATATGAACTATTGATAGTACCTAACCAGATTATATCCATACCATAGGCGTGTCCATGGGTCTTGCCTGTCATGCACAGGCATGACCTGCAAAATTTGATCTAAATTAAAAAAATTAATTTAAAATCTTTAAATTCGGGGGTCATATCCCAATACCCTAACAGAATTTTTTATTGGCGGGGGAGGGGGTGTAGTGTTTCTCTCCCCTGGATATTCCACGGTTGTGCATGAACTGCGAATGAGGTCTGGACATGCCTATGATCCATACAGGGTATTTATATGAATTATGATTAATATACTTCGTTCATCTATGATTGTAAATGAATCAAGTTCAGATAAAACAATTGATTAGGATAGATTTAGAACAAACAACCAAAAAGTTGTGATGGCAGAGCATTTAATTAAAATAGGGTATAATGGTGTAATATTTTTTATTCTTCGTTGTTAGAGGCCCAATTTCGCTATACTTTATTTACGTTGGTATAGAACTTTTTCAACTATACTCCAACGGCACATTCTTTGTTGATACATTTTACGTTAAGTAGAAAATACAATGATTGATTTATGGGATACTTATTATTGTTGTACTTAATAATTTTGTTGAAGTTAATATTTTCGTTCAGTAGAACTTTTAGATTCTGAAAGAAGGGATGAATGTATTTAATTTACAATGGCATGTGTTTTCTTATTTATATCTGTCACTACCTTTTGAGGCAATAAAAATGATTAGTTTTCCCTTCTTTTAAGAAAAAGAAAGTTAATGGAAAGTCAAATTCATTTTTATGAGTGTTTAAATTTCGAATTTTTTGACATGGATTCATAATTTTTTTGTAATTCAAAAACGAATAACCACTGATACTTGAAATTATGCACCAAATGTTTAATTTATCGTCGTTTTTTCCACAGTAAAATTTCATCAAAAGATTTTGACTTATTTTGAGGTTTTTAATACTTATAAAGACATTTGAGTTTAGAATTTTCATATTTTTTAGTTTTTTTCCTATAAATGTGAAAAACATTTTTCTTCCGTCGAGTCAGAATCCTTGAAAAATGTAAAACGAGTTTCTCATACAACTCATACTGTAACCAAAAAACCTAAAAATTATACAAATAAAGTTATTTTTAATAGATATTTTAAATTTAAATTTGAATGAAATTAGATATTTTAAATTTGAAAAGAAAAATAACGGGTTTTTAGTTATTTATTGTAATTTAAAAATATGATTTATGGAACTTGACCGTTTTTGCTCAGAATCGTTTTTTGTTTACAATGATTTAATATTATTGAATTCATATTGAACACATCCATTATAACGACCCACACGATACCTAATGTACAGCAGAGCGGTAGGTATCCACTTGCCCACCTTTTTTAAAATTGTTGTGCTTTACTTCAACAGCCAATAATATAACTTTCAAATATATTGGTCTTGGATAAAGGTTAATATCACATACATGAATATCTGCGGTTTACAACGATAATTATCTATGTGACTATTTTTTTTTTTTAAACGATATATACAATCTGTACCCTGGGGCACAACAAGAATATTGGCTAAATTATAGTAACATTGAAAATAGTTTGATTAGAAGAAGCCACCCAGTAGTGACACTTCCTAATGAGTTTTTTTTTGTCTACATTATTTGTTTAGTTTAGTTGTTTAGGAGATCTCTACGCCATTTCCTTTTTAAACGTCGTGGAGGAAACCTATGTGACTATGTAAATCATTTTGTATGCTATGTGTATATTTGTATGTACAACAATTTCGTCAAATGTATAACCACCTAGTCCATGCCTACTGCTGTAAACACTTTTAATCAATGAATCTATACTCCACAGTAAAATATATGATATTATGCGTATATGAGCTGTAAACCAAGCATATATACATATATATTATTCATACATATGTACATATAGGTATACAAGAACTGAAGAAAATATCTAAATATTATAATTATTGTACATACCGGTCAAGTAGCGGAATAGATAGATTACGGCCAAGTGTTCAAAGGTGCGTGTTCCGGGTGGCAAGTTTTCGACCATGCCAAGACGACCGTCAAGCAGAAAGAATGATAAACAAACGCCATCGCAAATCAGCAAGGCCAGAAATCCTAGTATGCACGTGAGTAGAGCCCAAGGACCACCATCTGGTGGACATAATATGATAAACAGATAGGCTTCTTCGAATCTTGGCTCCATTGACTGTTTGGATTCGAAAGAAATAAACTCCATGAGAGGATCATCAGTGCTGGGACCAGGGGTTGGATCAATTGTATTATCGACCTCATCTGGCGTCGTCGTCATGATGATAATAAACGTTGGAGGTATAATGAAAGATCGTCGTGCCTTATACAAATTAAAACTGCTGTATTTGATACCTGAGGTGAGAAACAAAAAAACGCGGTAAATGAAATCGTGTTCACTTCCTTTAAAATGCGATCAATGAGTTTTGTCTTTAAAATACGGTAGTTTATGTGCAATCACACGACTGTTTTCGGGTATTTTTTGGGGTGGAAATCCAAAGCACGAAAAGCTTTTAAAAAGTAACCCGTGATCAAATCAGACCAATATAAAATTGATCCATCTTACAAGCAATATTTGTACATTTGTACAACGCAATCGATGTATTTTCCAATATTACTATAACTACCTATAGCTGGCTACAAGTCACCTACAGGTACAGGTGCCTACAAAATCTTTGTCATTATTTTATTAATGCAAATAATGCAATGCAATAACTATATAGATACAAATACATATGTTATTAAACGTATAATGTTTTACACTTTAATAGGTTCTATACACTTATATAGGTAGGTACCAATAGTTTTAAGAAGACCAAATATTAGCCAAAACACTCGAAAGTATGGTAAAATATATACGTACCTCCCTTATCAGCAACAATGTTATATATGTCTGCAGTGTGTAAATCCACTACTTTTTATATCATCTATGTGTATAGGTACTCGAAGTTCTCTGCAGCGGACAACTACGATAGACTATAGACAGCATATAACATTGTGCTATAACACCCTGACGTGTATGCTGCCTCGTCCACATACCTACCAAATACCTACCTATATTTTGTTATCATATTCGCACAGATTTCACTTTTAAAATAATATATACCAGCAGAACACAGGTATCGATTATACAAGGGATGTCTTATTCGGGCACGGACATCAATTATAGTTCTACGCTTCGATAACATCTAAAGATAGAAAGTATATGGGAAATAGTTGGATGGGTAGTAGTGTGACATGTAGTAGTTCGAAAAGCAGTGGTTGGGTTCACCGAACAAATACTATCGAACTACGTAATGTGTGTTGTGCAAAATGTGAATTGGGTTGAGTGTGTGTACTGTATGCGTGTGTGTGTGTGTGTGTGGACTTAACCCAAATGTAAAAAACTTAACTCAAAACACGGTCACTTAATAGATTGTATGTGTCGCTGTTTATTATTATTGTATTCAACATTCAATAATGTTTAAATTATATGAATTAATGATTTGCAGTAAACGCATGGACCAATAAAATAAATGTACAGATTTGTCTGATACTTTGACAAATTACAGCTCTTCTGGCAAAACAATAATATAAAAGATAAATACAAAAATGAGCCTGTTTGCCGTTTGGCACAACCAAATTATATCAATAACAATAATGATTAATAAATAACTCACAGGTTGCCGGTGTACTGCTTAAAGTAATTAAAAGTAGCACATAGCACCTAGATATACAAGACACAACGATATAAATTGTACAAATAAAATACGGCGATTTTGGTTTGCAACTCCATATTATAATTTCATGTTTACAATAATAAAGTAAAATGTGTTCGAGATGTTGGAGTTTGGAGAACGAGGCTAATATTATAATATAATATAAAATAATAGAAATTAGTAATTACCTACGTCCTACACTCTTTCGTGGCTATAAGCGCACGCAGGAATGTGTCATAAATACCTAACAGTCGACGCGTTTTGTGACGATTGGAGCACACAAAAATTGTAATAGAAATTATAATTTTTAGTGACGATTAGATGCCACGACAAAAAAATATAAAAAATACTGCGATTAGCGTCGTAACAATATCTACTTTCGCGTTGACAGAAGATGCAAAACGAACTACTTTGTACTCCACCGGTGTTAATACTTAATTATTGTTGCGTACTGGCTCGCAACCGACAACCGATGACGCGTTGATACATACCTTATCTGAATATTATTAATATATAATATAATATTATCGAATTATTTTATTGTTTTATTATTATATAGCTCACGAGACACATACTAAAATTACGAAAAAAAGTAAATAATAATGACGGTGTTAGTGTGTGTAGGCATGTAACCTTATTCCTACCGAGGATTTAATTTTAATTAGATATCGATTTAGGTATAAAAAATGTTGTAATGGCAGCAACATGTTTGACAATAAATTTTTATTGATAAATATGATAAGTTATAACAATATTAAACACCGACAATACGACATTGGTCATTGAGGCTTAACAAAATAGATACAATACATTTAATAAAACAAAATATCTATTACGTATTAATCTTGAGCAGCAGTAATCAATGAGGTTTCATATTAACATGGACTAAGATATGTATATATACCTATTAGTTAGCTATCTACGTACCTATCTATAATCTATATTGAAAAATATCAACTGCAGTAAATAGTTTATAATACTACAAATTAAAATATTATTATAGATTAACGTGTTATTATATCGGTATTGTTACTCCTCAATCTGCTTGTCCACCTTGGCCATCAAGATTAGGTATTATGGATGACATCAACCATCTCCCCGCCAAGAAAAAAATGTTGGTATCACCTATTACGCGTATTTTCTTACTTATATGGTGGATGGACATTGGATGTTCTTTTAGCAGGGAACATTATTGTTATTTTTAAAAATACCTATATACGTTTTATATAAACGAAAATATACAAAATGTTAGAATTACAAAAAAAAAATGTCTCGAAAATATTAATTTCTAGGTGACTATTATGTACTCTTGAAAACAATGAATGTTTGTCTTCGCTGAGATATTGGCTGATAAAAAATTTAATTACAAACAAGGGTTCATAGATTAAAAATTAAAATATATATATATAGCTTAGTTTATAATTATTTCAAATTTTAAAAATTAAATTTAATAAGAATTTCTAACTCAAAATAATTTGTACATTTTCGTGATTTTGACATAATGACATGTTGCTTATAAGTAGACCAAAAAGTATTTACTAAGTATTAATCATACTTTGAAAATTGTTTAGGTACAGAAAATTATGTACATAAGCATTTGGTGAATATTTCAAGTATTTGCAGTTATTTGTTATTGAGTTACACCTAAAAAATTCAATTGATTTTGTCAAAAACTGGTTTTGTGTGCGTTTTCCTTCATTTTTTTGGTTTTACTGATGCTTTTTAAAACTAATAGGATTTTTTTATCCCAAAGTATCAACTAGATTACCAACTAAACCTACCAAAAACTATGCTGAAGTAGAAAATTGAAGCATTTTTCCTACTTCCAAAGGTGATGTCAGACACAAAAAAAATAATAAAAAAACGCACATCATTGTAAAATCAATACCTACATTCACCAGCACAGAATCTAAAATCACTAAATGTATGATAATTACGAAAAAATATCGTGTTGAAAATGCTATAAATCACAAGACAGCAATCGGCGACTTCTTGTAATATACATGAAAAATATATTGAACATTTGACAATATCATATTTTAATTTAACTTTGTATATACAATGTATTTATGTTATTGTTAAAAGTGAATGAAGCTTAATATAAAATATAAAATACCTTTGAAAATGCGTCCCAGAAACTCGTGGATAATGGATATGAATATACGACAGTTACACAATATGAATATTGAATAATAAATAATAAGATCGGCAATATGAGACAATGATCGATATTCCATAGTGGCATAGGCCTTATACTATTTGGTCTATGATAGTGCTCGCTTTATTAGAGATGATGTAGATAATAAAATAGTACATTATTATTGTTTTATTATCCATGGCCATACGCCATAGACTTTACTACGAAATCACTATTGTTGTTAACTATTAACACCGCTATCTAAAATAATATATCTACAAGATTATATCCACCTTGTATATCTATTATTTAGTAGAGAGCCCACAGATAAATACACATATATGTATGTTTATATATCTGTGTCTGTGAAAGAGCCTAATAATTATTATTAAGGCTGTCTAGTATTTAGTAGCTGTGCTATCATAACGTTGATAAACGGATATTGATTTGATAAAATCAGATACTATCACTGACTAGGATATCTTAGTCCGTGGATACTATTTAAAAGCTCTGCAGCCATGGATAAAACCAATTAAAATATGCGAGTAATTCACCAAAATAAATACTGGTTTTGAGTTAAAATGTCGGTTTTTTTCTGTTTTTAAGTTTTTACCTTTCGGCTTTCATTTTGAAACTAGAATTTTTATTTTTGACCCATTATACATAGAAATAACCAATTACTTTTGAATATAGATACAAATAGTTATAACTTATAGCAATGATTGTACATAGTTTACTGCTATACTATGTATAATGAATCAATGGTTATAGTATAGGTACTCCCCTCATAAACCCCTAAGCTGCAGTAACTCAATTTTTGTCAAAATCGAGTGTTCGGTATTTGTTGATAGATATTTTAATTCTCTATCGATTTCACGGATAAAAATCTCACTAGAAATTCAAATAGAAAAGAAAATAACATGTAAGGCTGTATGTACATAAGTTCATTAAGAAGACGCCACACGAGCATTTGTTGTCTCCGTCTTACAAACAAACAGCATAGGTAGCAAACACATAATACATTTTAGTATTTTAGTACTTTACTCTGTTATTAAAATGTACAGTTTAAAAATGATCACAACTTACTTAAAAATAATAATATCAATACAATCCTCCGAGGTACCTTAGATATTATTCTTACCTTTAAATTTAATAAGAGGTAAATTGACTCTTATTTTAGAAATTACAGAGTAAAATGTTAATATATTATTGTGAACGTAAAATTTGGTATGTTGTACGTTTGTAAGACGCAGACAACAAATGCCCGTGTGGTCTCTTAAGATCAGAAGTAAGTAAGGGGTATGTCCAAACACTAGAGTAGCAGTAAGTGATTTAGAGTTACTGATTTTATTTTCTTCCTTTTACATATTTATTGACATCATTGTATTTACAGAGCAGTATCTCCAACAAAATTCAAATTTTTGATTTAAACTTAACATAAGTCCAGAAATAGAGTTGATATTTAAACAATGTAACCTGATGAGGAATAATATTTTCTCCATCAAAACAAAAACAAATTACATTAAATTTCTGCTTTCTGTGTGCTCATAATTTATAGTGATGTTTTAAAATTTAAGTTATATAAATTAGATGATATTTTTCATTTTAATATTAAATAAATCTGACTAAATCTGATATTAAAATGTACATGTGATTATAGCTCATTTAAACATTTAGATGTTCAAAGCGCAACTGCTGCACTAGGTATAAATCAACTTATTGAGATATATGCCAATGATGGTACTAACTGCTTTATGTCTTCTGATCATGAAAAAACAATCTTTTTTTTCTAAAGCTACGTCATACAAAATCGAAAATATATGATAACATATACTACATATAATATTTTTAATGCTTAAAATATTAATATTTTCATTAATTTAGTGTGAAATACTACATTACTGTTTCCTAAAGGACTACGTTTTTGGAGTTACTGCAGCTTAATGACTTTCAACAGCAGTATAGACCATATTCCTAATATGATACGTTATGAATCAGTTCACCAGAACTGAGAATAGGGATCACGCTGTCACAATAAACACCTATACAAAAAGAATAATACCAATAATAATACTATAATTACAGTTTATATACCTAGATAGAAATTTCATATTATATTTCGATTGTGCCTCTGATACCTCTACGAAATATCAAAATATTTTAACTAATATTAAGCTATTTAATCTATGAGTATACCTAGTATGGTTTAAGATTAAGACATAATTATAATTTATATCAAGTCGAGAAGTCATAGCGAACCTTTCAAACCACACCAACCTACCATTGAAGCTGCAACAAAAGACGTTTTACTAGAGCGCAATTATCCCTTTAATCCAATATCCAGGAAAACCAAACAAATATATAAAAAACCGAAGATCGATCACGGTATGCTCTCTCTTATTCGTCAAATTAAACGAAAACAAGTAAATATAGGTAGATACCTCGTTTATACACTAAACACTAATTTCCTGGCCGCATCAGTATACAATCTTATTAACAATTTTCCCTATGCCAATTACCAGGTTAATGAAAACTATATAAATAATACTGCAGTACCAATATAAGAAAAGTTGTAACCTAACCTAACGTAATCCAGAACACAGCTGCAGTGGAACCAAGCCAAGAACCGTATGCTAGCAATTGCTAGACCACTACAATGTAGGTACTAGGTATCCCATTGTTTACTATTGGCAAGGTAGTCAGTATAATTTCAGGCGATAACCCGAATTGAGCTGCTTTAATTGATTCAGTCCACGGGAATTTTGTGTATATGGAGTATTTGCTAGCATTCAATTTTTCGGTCCATACAAATATAAAACCAAGAGTTGTATTATTGTATTGTTTATTTAATCACGAGTTAAGCTACTAATGAAAATAAAGTTTACTAATTGGTAACTAACGTTATTAATCAAACATTATTAATTATTATTCAGTTAATTTTTTTGATTACATAAATATTTTACACCGTGTTTCTTGCGATATCAATTATTTTAGTTTCATGAAATGAATTCCAATTCACTAGATTGGTTATGGGAAGATTTTATTTCACCTAATCTGGTTGAAGAAATCGAAGATAATTATTTGAGTACTATCGAGGACAATCATTCAGACACCAGCTCCCAATCTAGTTACAATATTAATTGTTCATTGTTAATTGGAAATGAGAAAACGGAAGAAGAATCGGATGAAAATGTTGACGATATTAAGTTAGTTCAAAATCTAAGAATTTAGTTTTGGTGACTTACATAGCATTAAAGTAAAATATTCCAACAGATTCGTATCTACATTAACCG